TCGAGTATATATTCTAATAAGTTTCGAGGTATGAGAGAGACGGTACGAGGGCATCAAACGAATAACTTCCACCGTACCGTCCGGACTAACATGCGAGAAAAAAAGCCTCTCTATTGCCCGCAAAAGCTCGACGTTGCAATATTATGCGACTGATATTACTAGTAGCGAGACTGATGATTACCGAGACGCTACTCTCTTTTCTTTCTACCGGAGGCTTATACACAGTCCGAAATGAATCGATCAAGTCACGGACCAGTTTAGCCTTCATCGCCGAACTTTTTGACTATACTCAACACCGCCGGGGTTTCGCTGTTTTTTAAAACTCATGCTCGTTCCTGAGATCTTTTTTGGGTCGAACGTTTGCTGGGAACGGAGGCGGCTTTGTTTTATAGCATGATGGACTTAGAGCTTTGTCAATTTTTCCTTTTCATATATATTTTTTTATAACTGACTGAATGATAAATCACGTTCAAATCATGTCCAAAGAGATAACTTTCCATTTTTTGACTGCTTTTAAGCTTCGTATATCATATTCGGTCAAAGCATGCTTATATTCGTATCTTCGACTGTATAAATCTTTTTAATCGGTGATGAAACAAGGCGAAGATACGTAACCAACGATTTATTTGTCTAACCTGCGATGCTTGATTTTGTGCCAAAAGGGCTAGACAAAAGAAAGATTTTTTTCTCAATAATTTTGCAAAGATCGCGCGTCAAGACAACTCTTGCGACTTCTCGCAAGCTGCACTTATATATTTTTCCTATTTTTCTTTACAAAAAAAAAAGCGTACAATATAGTTTTGATCTCAGCGTTCGCTTGGAACGCGCGTAGAAAGTGTTAAGTTCATCGATCCAGAAAGGGGTTTTCCGTTGCCGAGTGTACAATTACGAACTCGACGAACCTGCGAGCTGCGGTCGCTAGTGCGACAGTGAAGATTACCGAGAATTATCTACACGTACACGAGTCGCAGACACGTAAATACACGCGCACAAACACGCATACCTATACACACACACACACACACACACATACACACACATACACACTGGACACACTGATAGATGATCTCGCACAGACATCCTACACGTGAAAAAGAGAGGGAAAAAGAAGAGAGGGTCACGGGCCCCTCGATTCGCCACGAAATCACGTAGTGAATATATAGCGAACGGCGCGTTCGTTCCACCCGGCTTCCCTCGCCATTAGAGTATTATCTTAAAATGATATCTTTATATAAGCGAAATAGCAAAAAAATATAATAGCTCTAATATATTATAAATATAAACAACATATATATGTATACGTATATGTATATTTATATATCGTGCATATATAAATATATATATATGTACATGTATATGTGACCGTGGGTACGAAAGCGAGAGAGAAAAAGGGGATGTATATGTGTGTGTGAATGAAAGAGAGAAAATATAGGCGGCGAATGATATTTTGTCGACGAGATCTAGATTTTGTATTTTTCGCGCATTTCGCCGACGGGACGACGGGTGGTCTTTTGGGCCGTAACGCCATAGAGAAAGAGAGAAATTATTAACATATTATCTAGGAATATGTTACATGATGCGTAGAGAAAATGGAAAATTGCAGAAAATTATGCGGATAAAAAAAAAATAAAGAGGGAGAGAATAGAACGCAACGCGTAAGTCGAGGGGCCGCGCGTCCGCTCTCGGGCAGGAAGAACGAGCGCAAAAAACGGGGTCGGTCGATGGCGCCGACAACTCTTGCGAGTTGTATTTTTCAACTCGTGATAATCGAGCGGATCGCTTAAATCCGATGCTAAGAACGACACTCGTTTCACGTTAGGGATCGATGATGCATACGTAGTAGCGTTTTTTTTTTTTTTTTTTCGTTTGGAAAGACATAATCATATATTATCGCTATATTACCTTGCATCAATATAAATATATATATATATATATATATCTATATATATGTATGTATACCGCATGGATGTATATTGGATCGTGCATCCGTCATATACGTCCATATTATTCTATATACATATACGAATGTCGCTGTACCGCTTCCTCTCTGAGATCGCTGGAAGAAATGCCGAACATCTCTCGTTACTTTCAAGAGGCAGACGGTATATATACTACGATATCGTCCTATCTCTCCCGTTCTCGTAGACGAACATCGTGCACTTTCGCTAGGGCGATTCTTAAAGGCCCCCCCCATTAAACGCGAGGGTGCAAAACCGCAACGTTCGTCCTTCGTATCCACGAGAGGGAGCTCGGTACACGTCCCTACGACCTGTTTCTGCATATATAATCTCGTTTCGAAGAAAGACGAAAGAGGGGAAGAAGCTAATCAAACGGGGGTTTTCACAATGGAGGCCCTTAACGCGCGTGACAGGAGAGACGATACTCCGAATTTTTACTTGAACAACAAACGCGATAGCTTAAAACGTTAATTGCGAGAGGTACTATTCCGCGCATTTCCGTTTTCCCTCGCTTCGACATCGAGTTTATTTCCATGTTCCACTTTTTCTTTCCAACTCCTCTGTCATAATCCCCTCGATTTCTCCCCTTTCTTCCTTTTCCCCCTCCCCCCTCTCTCCCCTCCGCAGCTCCGAATAAGTCGAGATATATAATACATATTACATATATTATATATAAATATATATATTATATATATCTAAATCGCCCATCTCGTGATGGACGTTGGGAGATGGAAGAGAATATTTTTTCGATTTTTCTGAACACAAAAAGACTCGACCTTCTTGTTTATTTTTTTTTTATTCTTTAATTTTCGTCGCGCCGAGATGTCTCCGTTCGTCGTGTGACCGCTTCGTTTCGTGTATTTCCACTCCAGTTCCTTTTACATTTCCCGTATTATACCGCGCGGATCTTCGTTCTGGACTCTCCTTTATACACGCACTCACGTACGCGTGATACACGAACGAAGACTCGCACTCCACTCACGCACTCGCTCCGCACGCGTTAAACGCACGCTAAAAATAAATTCTCGCGTACGCACGCAGCTCCGGGGGGGTGCGCGAAAGACACGCGCGAACGATATATATGTGTATATTATTATTTGTTACTTGTATAACGTCACAAACAAACACTTCACGGACACTGACGAGAAATGGAACATACAACACCCTAATACTTGTACACATCCACGCGTAACACATGAAAGATACACGTGCACCAATAACACGTTGATGCATAACAGAAACGTATATTTATATATTATAATAATCGAGAAGCAAAGAGAAAAAAAGAAGTTTATTTTATATTTAAGTTCGAGGTAAAATAAATTCTATATTTTTTCTATGTTAAGTATAAAGAAAAAAAAAAGATGCGGTAAAAAAAAAAGGTGGTATGGTGATGTGGAATACACATACACACACATATATATATACATATATATAAATTATATTATTATTATATTATATATATATATACACATAATATAAAATATATTTATAGGTATTCTCTTTAGCATCTACGTTCCGAAAGACGTCGCGCAGCCGCGAGCGCGAAAAAATGGCAGGCGGCTGGCATGCACGTGTGCGTATTGAGATCGTATATGTAGATCGTGTCAGATAATCTCTCATTAACTTTGCTATGATAAGTCTGAGAATCCGTTCTGAATCTCGCGGGCGCGAGAGATGGGAAAGGGAGAGAGTAGTAAAAAAAAGGGAGGAGGGGAGTGACGGACAAACGAGAGTTTTTAAGCGAGAAATCACTCTCTAGAAAGCGAGAGACAGAACGGGGAGGAAATCAATTCTCATAAATTCCACGTATATATGCGTACGTTTATACATTTCGATTGGATCACATGGGTGTATGGAGAGAGAAAGATATTACAATAATATATTATATATTTAAATTATAGCGATCGCGAGAAAAGAGGGAGAGAGAGAAAGAGAGAGAGAGAGATAAAACGAGTCGCCGATTATTTATTATTCCACGGCGAAAAGTACGTTCTCTATGGACGCACGAAGAGAGAAACACACGCGGAGAGAGAGAGAGAGAGAGGGGGGGGGGCATGAGAACTTTCGGAAACGGAAAAAAGCTTGGATTTAAAAAAATAGAGAATCTAACAAAGGAAATGATAGTAGATTAAACGAATGAGAGAGAGAGTGAGGGGGATGAAGGATATAGGGTGCAGCAGGGTGGTTGCCAGAACTCGAAACGTGACGCCAAATTCAAACGGAAGAACGTCGCGTGTGTGGGCAGGGAGCTGGAGAGGGGATGCGGAAGATGGATCAAATTTCGGCATTTTCCTTCTTTTTTTTTTTTTACGATCGAATAGCTGACCGACAGCGGAGTTTGAGAGTTTTGAAATATTGAGACGTGATACGAGACGTTCGAAGTTCCGACGTACATCCTCCGATAAGGGAAACGTAGATC